AAGCTAGAGGGAATTTTTATACCCGCAATTACCTCGGCTGGAAGTGCAGATTCTACATCTTTATCATGTAGCTGATGCAATAGTGTACTGTTCGTTAGATCATTTCTTCGACTTTGAATCAATTGTGCAATGAATACCTTGACACGTTTGGAATCTCGAAGCGACTCAGTTTCTTGCTGAGAGGTACGTTTCTGAGCGGTGGAGCGTGTAAAGTATCTGTGCCTTTGCAGTGGGAATAAATGTTTTGAGGTCGAAAAATTGTGCTCAAGATTAGTTTTAGCTAATGAGGTATCTACGTTTGAATTCTTTGTCTGAGAATTCAATGACAATGTTTCTGTTGAATGATTAGCATCAACTGGATATTCTTCCTCTAATTCATCTGAATCATTGTCCATAGCAAGTTTCTCAACATCAATTTTTTCTGCTTTGCCATCACTCATGTTTTCTTCGTCGTCTTGTGAAATTATCTCCTCGTAAGGTTGACAATTTGTATTTTGGTGTTCACAATTTCCATTTATCTCATATCTCTCATATACTTCTCCTGAATCAGAGTCCGTATCGAAGTCTGTTTCTGAAGCCAAGTTATCACTTTCAGGTTCTTTTTCCAGATCCATATCAGGCGCGCTCAGATTTTCTAAGTGCTGATCGTTGATTAAAGTCTTCTCTAAGTCTTGACGAACGTTTTCACTGCTGCAAGCTGCTTTTTGGAGAGTGGGCTGAATCATTGTGGGGAGTTCACTACTGCCCACTATACTTACATGTTCTCGACTGGCATCTCCTTTATTATGAGCTGGACGTGTATCAGTGAGTGTGATGGCTTCTGAGTTAAAGTTATGCTCCTCAGTTTCTTTTGGTTTATCCTTCTCTGTACTAGCTTGAGGAAGACTCAACTTTTGTTCAATCTCCACATTTCTTGGTCTACCTCTTGGTCTTCTATCCATGGTCACATTCGGTGTTCCTTGAGGCCCGATCTTTGCATTTCGTATCTTTAGATCAACTGTTCCTCCTTTCTCGTTCTCGTTAATCACTACACGACTTGATAAAATAGTGTATCCTCGTTCCGGTGAATAAACCTTCAAGTGTTTTGTTGTATTCTCAGAATATCCTACAAATACGCCTACTCTCGCTGGGTTAACAAGTTTATCGTGTCTTTCATGAGCAGGCAGTGTCTTTTTATCTACATAGTAGAAACATTTACTCCCCCATTTCTGTATATGATCAATTGAAGGGGTTTCACCCGTAAAGGCTTTGATTGGACTGGTTTTCATATTCGAAATTATTGGGCCAGAGTCAGTTCGGTTGCGTATGTAGCAGTCAGTTTCTGCTGCTTCATCCCAGAACTCAATTGGAAGCTGGGCTTCTTCTAACATTGCCCTCATATCGAACTCAACAGTTTGGATCGAACGTTCTGCAGGGCCGTTCTGATGCGAAGAGGCAATAGTGGTTGATTGTGCAAGAACTCCATCTTCTATTTTCCAATCGTGGATGGCTTTGAGGAGTTCGGGTGCGTTGTCTGATCTTGCACATTTAACTTTCTTGCCCGATTGATGTTCAGTTACTGTTTTCCAGGTTTTCAATGCCTCATATGCATCACTTTTGGTCTTTACTGGAACCACCCAATTCATTCTGCTGCAAATGTCAATGATGAGGAGGAACCATCTGTTGCCTCTGATACTTGTTGGGAATGGGCCAGCGACATCAAATTGAACTTGTCCCAGTATTTCATTGATCCAAGGGCTTAGGACCTTTGGGATCCTGTTTTTCATCTTAGTAAGTGCACATACCTCACAGACATCGAGATCTCGTGGAATCTTGATCTGCTTTTTGAGTGTAGTAACCAGATGTAAGTTTCGAATTTTTTCAGGTCCTAAGTGAGCAAAGCGACGGTGGTACTTGAGGTATCTTTCCCTTTCGTTTTTTCGGATAGTTTCTTGATGTGAGATTTGACTCGGGCTCACATATGAAGTGTTATTATTTGACCTGTCGTTTTCCACAGAATTAAACGCAGTCTCTTCATATCCTTCAGCGATATGCGTCACAGTATAGAGTCCTTGATTCATTCTAGCTTCAATGATAACTTTATTGCCTAGCTTAAGGAACAATTCATTTTGATTACCCGCAAAGTTCAAACCTGCTTGACACAGCCTTCTCACTGATAGAAGATTAACTCCCAGATTTGGAACAAATAAAACATCGGAAAGAAGCATTGAAGATCCGTCTTTACACCTCATTTGAACATCGCCAGAAAATTCAGACTTTAATTCGCCCCCTCCAACCTTTACTCTTTTGGGAACAATTGGTATAAGTTTCCTAAATAGAAGAGGTTGGTCAGACATGTGAGACGTGGCGCCAGTATCGACGGGCCAATCAGATGGAGTAGCCTTACATATTTCTTCCTTTGACAGGTGACATTCTTCGCAATCTTCATTTTCTGAAGCTAATGTTTCAGCAGAGAAGGCATTGTGATATCTGGACTGCTTTTGTGCTGATCGAGAAGTTTTGGGTTTATCTTTATCTTGCAGGCGTGGTTTAGTTGATTCCTTCACTTTCTTCTGCCTGTCGTGCTCTTTCAAAAGTCTCGCAGCTGTTTCTAACCTAGGACATCGAGCGACAGTGTGTGACCGTTTACATAAATAGCACCTATAAGCAGGGCTATCAGAATCAGAGTTTTGATTTTGTCGCATTTTCTGTGGAAACTTAGACAACTTTTGCCTAGCAACTAGGGCTTTTTCATTCTGAAGTCGTAGATCTTCTTCGACTTCGTTCAAAATCTTCAGCTTGTCCTCAACAGAAAGAGTAACCTGTATTCTGAATCCATCTGTTGTCGCCTTAAAGGCCGCTGGGAGTGTCTTTGTCAGAATTAAGAATAACGCCGCATCTGGATAAGCGTTCTTCATGATAGGATCTGCACTGATGAGTTTTCGGCGAAACTCTTTTAGCTTAGCCCAAGAATTGTCCAAGCCCATTTCTTGACGGAATTCAAACGTTGCAATTTTAGTTAGATAGGTGTTTGCAGAATACTCATTTGTTCTAAAATACTTGCCTTTGAGTGCGTTCCAGACTCTGAGTGCTGTCTCGTGCTCATCGATCAGATCAAAATCTTCTGCGCTGAGAGCCTGGAGTATGAGGAAAAGTGACGTTGCTTCAGCTTTCTCATACTTTTCAACTTTTATTTCGTCCAAACTCGTACTCAGCACTTCAACTTTGATTGATCCTCCATCGATACCAGATGTCGAAGGTATTGTTTTACTTCGGTTTTGTTTCGTGGTCGCGTATTCTTCCAATGTTGTTTCAATAGTGAAAAATACTGACCTAGATTTAAGTTTTAGCTTCATTTCTCTGAACCAGCTCTCATAGTTATCCCTTGAGAGCGAGGGGATGCGGCCAAGGGCTTCATTATCCTCCATTCTTGTGAGGTTTAGTCCAAGGCGAAATTTCGATTCCTTGCTCGAATCGTAGACGATTGTAGATTCCTTTCTCGAATCTTAGGCTAAGCCGTCAAGGCTTTGGAGTCGATTTTGATTCTATTTATACCTGTGGCAAACCGGTGGTCATAACCTATTAACTTGGGAGGACTTCTGTCGCAGTATGACTGTATAGAAGACGATGGAATTAGCACAGTGGATTGAGGTCATATAGAATCAGATATTCGAGTTAACTAAAAGTATACTAAGATCGAGACAGCCAGACTCCTAAGTACAAATTTTCCTCCACGCAACTGATCTGCATGAATAGCGTAATTGACGCGACTCATGTGTTTGACTCTGCCTGACTCGGATTGCCCCTGTAGCAGCTAGACACACCTTGTCATTTAACAATACTTGATAAAGATCTTTACATTATTTTACATCCAACTGCAATTGCAGCCACATCATAATCGACAAACAGACCATATTCATTATGTCTGAATATTTAGATAACCAAAGTCAAATATCTTCTTTTATTTTTTATTTTGGTTTGTAAAATCTTTTCTTGATTTAGTACCAACTGCATAGCATGAGATTTGTTGGAGGGACGACCTTCATGTACACTATAATCTTCGAGCGCAGGATGATAAGATCCTAGCAATTGTTTGCTTTGGTGGGTCTATTTGGGCGCCAACACGTCGGGTAGTTTAATTTAGACTGGGCTTACCGGTACGTGAGTTCCTCACGTATTGTGCGCGGGCACGACGTTAAATATTATAAATAAAGAACACTACTCATGTCATCTTTTGTGTCAAGGGGAACTATTTCACCTACTCATGTAAACTAAGCTATTCAGGTCACATGACCTGACTATCAGTATATAGACTTCATCTGCAGCATTACGGCTATCTAGTCAACATTTAAAACGTAATACTGTGTCCCACATATCTTTATTAAGATTTTGTAACAAAGGTATATCAGAGATATATTCCCCTTGATGAATAGCCACTCTGTCGGGGCATTTGCTCTGTTAGGCCTGAGGTTTAGATTCATGCCTTAGGCTCCCAAGTGGACTCGGTTTTATCAACGCCTCAGGAGCATCCACAGATAGAGATTGATATAAATATACACATTAATCTGTCACTGCTTCTGCAGTAGCAAACCCCATTCTCATTACCTGTGATATCACAGAGATTGACCCTGTCATACCAACACTGATCAGTGCTTGACTAGACAGCAAGCATAGACAGCTAGGTAGTTCATAGGAAGACAACCCCATCAACAAGTTCGACCAGGCTGTGATAGGAAGCCACTGCTCGTCCCACAAGTTGGGTTCCAGTAGTGCGAAAATCGAGACATCATATCACAAGTTGATATCATTATCTCCCAGTCGTCCAAGACCTCGCCAGAATCGACAATATGAGCCAAGCTAAGCTCCCAGAGTTTGTGGGACTTCTCCAGGCCGAATAGGTGAAGCCACACATAACGAAAAGGGATACAGAAGGAAAGGAAAACGTTAGTGATAAAGTTACGGATCTGAACATCACCATTGTCACATGGATCGACAATTACCACCAAGGCTTCATTGACTACATGCTCCTCGAAATCTTCCAAGAGGACTTTGTTGAGTGGGATTCTGATAACTTTGCCATGGTCTACCCACCAATTCTAAGAAGATTCAAGACACTCCTTATGTCAAGAGGAATATATGTAGGGTGCGAGAACAACAAACGATCGACCGTCGCACAGCAGCTGGCAGCATTGCTTGAAAATGATACCCATGACCTACCCCGGTGGCCGAAGCGCGAACTTGACCAGATGATTGGATAGGGGCCTGAATTTCAGTCACTTTTCTTCAACGAGGGCATACAAAGCACTGTTAAAGTGGCCGATAATAATTGCAGTGATGATACTGGCACCGTATTTGCCAACCTCAAAAGCACAAAAACAGGCAAGGACAAATACATCCGCCAAAGGGTGAAAAAGAGGAGGAAAGAATATATCCCACGTACCCTAGTTATCAGTGCGAAGATCTCTACAGGAAAAGTGATGGATACAAGAAGAGACCAGAGAAGAGGCAGAAGGTGAGAGATAGCATGGAGATTGACTCAGACGATGACTCCGGCAAGGCATACATTCCAAAATGGGCGAAAGAAACACCAACCAAATGTATCAATACCTCGAGAGCACTGATGGATCTAACTAAACATTATATCAATCCTCAAGATAAGTTCGGAGCCAGACACTATGAGGTGCTTGAAAATAAGCTCAGAATCTTCTTCGAAAAATGCCGGATTGCCGGAATTGGAGAAAACCTGTTCAAAGATGCTTTCTCCACAATGCTACGAGATGCCGCGTACGACTACTACCTTAGGCACCTCGCTGAGCATGTTGGACACCTGAATTTTAACAATATGGTCCACAAGGTTAAGAGAAGATTTCACATGAAAACAGAAGAGCAAAATTACCTGACTGAATGGCAAGTTCTTACCCTACAGAAAGTAATTAAAGATAACCCTGACAAAAACACCCTCCAATGCCTTGATGTGGTTATCGAAAAGCTCCAGAAAATATATGAAGCTCTCAGATGCAACTACAGTCACAAAAGCCACAGTCTTGCTGGAAAATTATATGCTGTATGCCAAGGCGAATCAGCCTGTGCACAAGCACTAATACGCCCCCACGACAGATTTGAAGATGCCTGCGCTGAGCTTCGATCTACTGTTAAGGTCCACATGGACTGCACTCCACTGAATGCAGGGCTGTTCCATCAGACAGAAGAACACTTCGATAATGAAGAAGTGGATAATGGACAGTACTTTGTCGACCGTAGGTACGGTGGAAAGCTAGGCTATGTACAAAGAGGACTGCATGCAAGAAACGGCCGAAGCAGTTTTAAGGGTGGACTTCGAGGTGGATCTGACAGCAATAACGACCACCGGAAGATTTGCTTCGTGTGTAAAAAGGCGGGGTGCTGGTCCACACGGCACGAACCAAGCGATAGTCAAGGAAGAATCAATAGCTGGCGGATGTACATGGCTGAAAATGATCTCCCCGCTGACAATGATACCCTGGCCATGTTCATTGTCGACTATGAAGGCTACGAAGTGAACCAGAATGATGATGAAACTGATCTTATTGGCATGTTTAACGCGTGGTCTGAGGACAGAACTGAGCAATTCCTCACAAGTTACGGTACAATCTATGGATGGAATACAGCTGTGCTGCTCAACAATCAAAGCTGAAAATGCTCTGATAGCCAATGACCCATTTGAATGGGCCCAATCAGAGCCAAGCTCCATTTTTCAGTTTCACAGCCGTTAAAATACAGAGGTCTTCCAGGGGATTTTGCCCGACACAGGAGCGGCAGGGCTGTCAACAGCTGGAGAAAACCAAGTTAAAGCTCTCCAAAAGATCATCCCAGGGCTCGAGATGGACACAAGAATAGCAGGTAACCATTGTATAACTTTAGGTGATAGCCCCCATATGGTAACCCTCGGAACGGTCGATGTGAAAATCCCGTTTGGCACAATGACATTTACAGTCGTTCAGGCAAATACTCCGTTTCTGCTTTGCTTAACTGATATGGACAAACATTGTGTGTTTCTCGATAATACTCGAGACTTACTCATCCATGCAAATAAACAGGGCAAGCAAGAAATATAACCTGTTGTATGCAAATGAGGACACCATTTCTTCCTTCTTGACCTGAAAGCCACCGCAGCAGCTTGCCACCTGACTGAAATCGAGCTTCGGCAGCTTCATCGTCGATTCGGTCATCCAGCCGCAGACCGACTTAGCAGGTTACTCTCGCGCGCGGGGTACGATGAATTTAATGAAGATACCTTGCCACAAATACACAAGTTCTGTCACAAGTGTCAGATCCATTCGAAGGCACCTGGCCGTTTCCGCTTTACGTTGCGAGAAGACATGGACTTCAATTTTCGCTTGGTCGTCGATGTCATGTACATACAAGGCAAGCCAGTTCTTCATGCAGTGGATGAAGCCACCGCGTTTCAAGCAGCAAGGTTCCTAACCAATATGACTGCCAAGGCGACCTGGGAAACACCACGAGCAATGTGGATTGAAACCTACCTGGGACCTCCTGACTTCATAATCACGGATGCAGGAACTAACCTGAAAGCTAATGAATTCGTTAATAACGCTCGGCTGCTAAGTATCCAAGTGAAGGAAGTCCCTATTGAAGCACATCACTCCATCAGGAAGGCCGAGAAATACCACGGGACGGTAAAGCGAGCTTATGAGATCTTGTCAGTCGAGTTACGAAACTTGGCAGCAGAAAAAATCCTCCAGATGGCCGTTAAAGCGGTTAACTACACCGCAGGTCCAGACGGTCTTGTCCCGACATTGCTTGTCTTCGGTGCGTACCCACGCATGACTCAAACATCCCCACCATCTACGAACATTACATAGCGCGCCGAGGCTGTGAAGAAAGCCAGGCACTCCAGCACGACGACAACAACTACAAATATAACCTGGACACACAAATTCCTGCAGCGCTACGTCACCGCGGTCGACCAAAGGATCCAAGAACAAGCCGATTTCCACCCCAGATTCAACATTACAGTTTACTGGTAACATATTCGTAAGTGACAAAGAGATAGCTGACGCAGAGTTGGCCGTGAAGTTACGCAAGGAAGGAAAGATACTGACCCTAGGAGCTCTGTTTGAGCTATCCAATCAGGCAGAAACCGAAGCACTCATTGGTAACGGTTTTTTCAAGTTCGAGCCGTATGACACAGTTAAGCATGGTAACTCAAAGATGTTTAAAGCAAGGTTGGTCCATGAAGTCAAAGGAAAAGTAACAGACAAGCCATACGAGAAGTCCCGACTCGTTGTAATGGGATACAACAATATAGAGAAACGTCAAGTATGTTACGGCCTTGTATTCCTGACCCTCGGGGCCTCTAATACTATTGTTCCTTCCAAGTATTGTGTTATGATCCTACATATGCACGGACCAATTGTAAATTATGTATATATGTATATCTCTAGATACCTCTTGTTATTTTCTTCCCTTAGTTTAGAATCTTATGAATTATATTCCAGATCTGAGTCCTTGCCTGATTCGACTTGTTCATCTGCTAACCTGTGCTCCCTTCTGGTCGTCACAAAGTACTTACATAGAGTCCTGCTATACAGCGCGCCAGCCAACGTATTATCCTTGCGCTCACTCCAACATTATGTAAGGCGACCGCGCTGACTATCTGGTTGCGGGATATTACCCAGGCGTACGTGCAGTCAGATACCGTCCTCTAACGGCAGATAGTTGCAGAAATCCCAATCCAAATATGTCATATGTTTCCACCAAACACCATCATGAAAATTATCAAGCCTTTGTACAAACTAGCAGAATCTGGAACGCATTGGTGGGCTACATACTTCCGCCACCATTGTGAGAAGCTACTTATGAAGACATCAACATTCGATCCATGCCTTTTGGTGACCACAAAAGAGGCACCATCATTTGGAATAGTTGGAATGCAGGCTGATGACACGTTAGGCCTAAGTGATGGGGCATTTGCAGAAACTGAGGATCGCGAATTGGCTTTTAAGGCAAAACAGAAAGAGTTCCTATCTGCAGATTATCCTCTACTGTTTAATGGATGCAAACTGACACTTGAAGGTAACGACCTAGTACATGCAGCAAAGGGCTAGACGAGCCTACATAGCGACAATATGCCAACCTAAGGCCTCTTTTGACTTGTCAGCTGCAGCGCAACACAAAGATCCGAAAAGTGACGAGAGAGCGTTGCTCAACAAACAACTCAAATGGCAGAAAGAAAATACTGCCAGGGGTTTACGTTATGTACCGCTTAATTTGACAAGTATGAAGCTTTTTGTATTTGTCAATGCATCATTTGCAAATAACAAGGACCTGACATCTCAGATTGGCTACACTATTGTGCTCGGTGGCAAGGAGGATTATCTAACTGACAGCTTTAAAATGACCAGCAATATTATCCACTGGTCGTCCACGAAGTGCAAACGTGTCACGCGCAGCGTCTTGGCTTCGGAAATCTATGCCATGGCTCACAGTGTTGACATGGCTGTGGCAATTGCTGGAACCATTAACACCATTGCTAACAAGTTCAGTACCATCCATAAGCTCGATATTCCACAAGTTCCAATCATCGTGTGCACAGATAGCAGGTCGTTATACGAGTGCCTTGTCAAGCTCGGTACCACCAAAGAAAAAAAGAAAGATCAAATACTTAGACTCGCAGGAGCTTGTAATTTAGGAGGGGAGCTACTTTCATGGATCATTGTGGCATAGCGTATTGTGAAACGCCATGCGGACGGCTAAGTTAAAACACAATTAATAGTTCAATGCACTTCTAAAACCAGCAAGGGAGACTGATAAGAATGGGCTGGTTTCATTAGGTGATGTGTAGCAGATTGTTGGGCATAGGGGCTGTGTGCTACGTGCTATTTGGTAATTTTATGTATATAAATACTCGGCGTGAAGAAGCATTATTCTTCACGCAACGTCTTCTTCAATTACCTTATCAATAAATTTGTTTACCCATCTCTTCTTCGGGAAGACCATTTATCTCTTTCCAGTTCTTCATCAGCAAGACCCATGTGTAGCCTCTATTGCTACTATCTACCTATTTGTCTCTTCCTAGAGAAGACTAGTCATCCCTTCGACCCACTCTTCACCTTCGTCTACCACCTAGATCTTCGTTAGACCACATACGCACCCTGTGGAACACTGTCCTAACCTCGCCTTGAGAGATAGACGGTAAAGATAATCCTGCTGATGCAATGACCAAATCAGCATCAAACAAGGCTCTTGAAAATCTTATCAATACAGATAAGATTACTTTATGTATACAAGGTTGGGTTGAAAGAGCCAAAACCAATTGACTAGCCAATTGGAAAACGTACACTCAGGATCAGATTGAGTAAATAAAGGTGTACAACATTAAGGAGTTATGTGAGTGAATTGATCTTGGGAAGAGTGCGGTTAGAAACACGATCTTATTTTCCTACATTTGAGTATTTTACGGTATAGTTTTCATGGGATGGTTGGAGTTGTGGGTTTGAAGATTACAACGTGATTGATACCAAAAAGGTTGGCAATTTGCTCTCTAAAGAAAAAATTGCCAGTGTTGGAGCACTTGCTCTGGTAGGCCTGAGGTTTAGATTCATGCCTTAGGCTTACAAGTGGACTTGGGTTTTATCAACGCTTCAGGGGCGTCCACAGATAGAGATCAATATAAATATACTTGTTAGTCAGTCACTGCTTCTGCAGTAGCAAACCCCATTCTCATTACCTGTTACATCACAGAGATTGACCTTGTCATACCAATACACTCAGCGCAGTGTTTACCCATGTCATTCAGCTACCTTTTCCACAAAACCTTCCACGCAAAATAGAAAAATGGTTGCAATGGAAATTGCGTGCGCAGGAAAAAGTCTCAAAAAACCTGCAACCCCAGCCAGGCGAGGCCTAGACATTGGGACCAGTCGGGGTGACTGGTTATGCCCCGGAAACTATTTGGATGGCTTTTCCTCCATGATCAAGGGTTGATGATGAGTAGGGCTCCGACCCTACCATCTGATCTAATTGTAGTTAGCTTCATGAAAATGGTGATAGGGGATTGTGTTGAGAGATGAACATGTTACTGGCTGCAAAAGCAATTGGTAATCCTCATGGAGGAGAGGACATTTTTATTCAATCTCGGCTCTGCTCTCAAGGATGAGGGTTTGACAGTGTTCCACGGGGTGCGTTGTATAGCCTAGTGAAGATCTAGGTGGTGAATGAAGATAATAAATGGGTCAAAGGGATGACAGGTCTTCTCTAGGAAGAGATGAATGGGCAACTAGTTGCAGTAGATGTTACACGTGGGTCTTGCTGATTAAGAACTGGGCAATGTGTGACAGGTAAACAAATGTATTGTAAAGGATAAGTAAAGAAGACGTTGCGTGAGGAGTAAATCTCTCTCGCCGAACTATTATATACAAGAGTAGAAGCCTTTGCCAACCGGAATTAATCGTAATCAATTCTTGCCAGTATCTTCGCATTAATGGCTGTGTTCTTGTCCTTCTCTTCATGACTCTCTTGTATATCCTTACATGAATTTTTACAAGACAAATTGTATAGGGGAGGCTATTATTAAATTGATGATTTTAATTAACTACCCCTTCATCTTATCATGAATAAATATTAGTATTAAAATTCAATTTACGAATCTGTGGAAGTATTTGATCCGCAGTT